GGATAGGACCTAGGATACTACCTTGTGGAACACCAGCGGACTGGGAAAAGAGGGATGAATATGTGTTATTGTGATTCACTATAAAGTATAAGTATCAGTTAAGTAGGAACAAATAATGAGGAAGTATGTAGGATGTAGGAATTTACAGTTTGTAAAGCAGTCTCTGGTGCCAAACTCGATCAAAAGCCTGTTCTACATCGATCGAGGCAGACTCCTGTGCAATACATTCCGCGCTCCAATGCAGAGGAGACAACATCCACCATACGATGGCATTGCTGGATAGTGGAATGTGATCTGTGGAATCCAAACTGGTGATCTGGGATTATGTAATTCAAATCTAGGATAGAATACAGGTGTTTTTCCAGGATTATGCCCATGATGGGTAAAAGGGAGATAGGATGGCAAGAGGATAGGTATTCAGGTGGCTCTTTGGGTTTGTGTTACCATTTTGATAATAGAAAGTTTCCAAGGGTCAGGAAAATATGTGGGTCGGAATACAGCATTATATATATATAAGTAAGGAATAGAATGTCTTCCCGAGGAAGTAGTTTTAGGATCTAGGATGTAATTAGGTTGTATCCAGGAGCTTTGTGGGAAGGTAACCTGTGAATGATGGTAGATATTTCTGAAGGATGAAAGGCTTTTGGGTGGAGAGGCATATCAAGTTCTGCTTCAATACATTCAATATTATTTGATTTAAGAGTATCGGGATCTGGATTACAGGTTTTGAAGAGATGTGAGCAAATATTAAGGGTTTTTCTTCAGCGGATTTGGACCAGGTTCTGGCTTCAGTAAGAAGTGGATGATTGCCGTCTTTAAATTTCAGGAGCCTTTTAGTGGTCGTCCATAGTGATTTGTCGGTAGGTGTTAGTTTTTCAGTAAAATAAAATTGAATTTTGTATTTTTTAATTTATGATTTTAGATTGTTAGTCAGTTGGGTGTAATTTTATCTGTTGGACACCTAGTTCTATTCATTTTCGATCTTGCTCTGTGTTTTTCCTTTAATAAGATACAAATATGCTGTTGCAAGTTAGACTTTTGTGAATTCTTCTTCCACGGCACTACAACTCATGAAGAGTCTTGGCCTCCTCAAGAAGTGTCTGCCAGGCGTCTCTATCCTGCACAGCCGCTCTCCAGTTACGTACACCAACTAGTGCACGTGCATCCCTTGCCACACAATCATGCCATCACAGCCGTGGTCTTGCTACTTTCCTAGAGCCTTGTTCATTGCTCTCCATAGTTTTTTTTTGGATTTCATCATTTTGCATTCTCGCCACATGCCCTGCCCATCGCAGACTTGCAAGCTTTATGATTCTTATGATATCTGCCTCCTTGAATAGATTGTAAAGCTCTGTGTTGTGTGTAATCCTCCAATTCTGTTCATCGCTCACAGAACCATAGATTCTGCGGAGTACCTTCCACTCAAATAACGCTAGGACTCGCTCGTCTCCTTGCGTCATGGTCCAGGCTTCAGAGCCATACATCAGTAACGGACAAATGAGCGTTTTATAAAGCTGTGTCTTTGTGCTGTGAGAGATGAGTTTAGTTTTGAAATGCTCATTTAAGCAAAAATAGCACTTGTTTGCCGCTACTATTCTTCTCTTGATCTCTAGGTTTCCTTTGTTTTCTCTATTTACTAGAGATCCCAGATATGCAAACTCATTAACTCTCTGGAACTTACAGTGCGCGATCTGCAGATGTTGTTCTTGGGCGGTAGCACTACCTCAAATACACATATATTTGGTTTTTTCTTCGTTAACGACCAGTCCTAACCCTGCAGCTGCTGCTTATATTAGGACAAACGCTTCTTTCATAGAATTCATCGATCTGGCCATTATGTCGATGTCATCAGCATATGCAAGTAGCTGTAAAGTCTTATTAAATAGCGTAACAGTAGTCTGGATGGAAGAATCACTCAGAGCTTTTTCAAGTGCCAGGTTAAATAGGAGGCATGCAAGAGCATCTCCTTGTCGCAGTCCTTTAGTTGTCATGAACCTCTGTGATAAGTCTCCCTGTACTCGGACGACACACTCTATGCCCATCATGGTCATCCTGACGTGGCGGACTAGTTTTGGTGGTATGTTCATAACAATCATTGCCATGTATAACTGCTCTCTATCAATGCTATCATAAGCAGCTCTAAAATCTGTAAAGAGATGATGACTTTTAACATTATATTCCATCATTTTCTCCAGGAGCATTCTAAGGGTGAATATCTGATCAGTGGTCGATTTTCTCTTCTGAATCCACACTGGTATTTGCCGATCTCTCGCTCTGCAAACGGCAGAAGCCTCTGGAAGAGCACATTTGATAGAACTTTATAAGCACTGGAGAGCAGAGAAATGCCTCTATAATTTTCACAGTTAAGTTTATCGCCTTTCTTGTATATAGGGCATATCACAGACTTGTTCCAATCCTTAGGTAATCTCTCTTCTGTCCAGATACTCAAGAATAGATTTTTATTAGCTCGGTTCCCCTATATTTGTATAGTTCACCTGGGAGTCCATCAAATCCTGGGATCTTGTTGTTTTTGAGCTTTCTTATTGCCTCCTCTACTTCCTTATCATCTGGTGGTTCCAGATCATCATCGGCACTATAACCAGGTGTTACAGCATCCTCATCAATGTTGTTATTTCTCAATCCTTCAATAAGGAGGTCTTCGAAATATCTTCTCCATCTATCTAGAATATCCGTCTTCTCCGTCAGAAGATTACCATTTCCATCTCTGCATGAAGAAATGAGTGGTTGATAAGGTTTGTGCCCTTCATTAATTTTTTGGTAGAGTTTCCTCACTTTGTTTAGGTTCCTGTGCTCTTCAATGGCCTCCAACTCATTGCTTTCGTATTCCCGTTTTTTTCTCTCATTGCAACCTTTTTTCAATTCTTCTTTTTTCACGATATTCCTCAGTTGCAGCTCAAGTATTTCTTTTTTGGAGCATTTTTCTATAGGCTCATTCTTCGCTGCAGTCACCAAATGACACTCTTCATCGAACCAGGGAGATCTGACTGTCCTTTCCTGCTTACCTAGAACTTCTTCAGCTGCCGAATCCAGCGAAACTTTGAACGCATCCCATATACGATCAATATTATGATCATCTGAAACATCTAGAGTTACTAGTTTTTGATTTATTCGACAACCCAATCTTTGGTGTTTAACATTGGGTACTTATTAAATAGCTGGTTGGGTCCGACTGCTATCTGCCAAGGTTTATAACCTGATAATTCTGACCAGGCACTGATAATATCTTCGTTTTCATTTTTATTGAATTATATTCATATTATTATATCTTCGTATTCATATTTATTGTACTATATTCATATTATTGAAATTGTAAACAAAAACAAATGTAATAATAATAAACTACTTTTATTTTATAAGAGATGTATTAAATAGACCAAAACATTATACATATATAATGTAAAAACATTACAACATATATATAAAAATAAATGAAATAATAAAAAGCCACTTAAACAACATATGTACATATAAAAGAAACACTATGAAGACTATAAAGAACATATTTACATATAAAAGAAACAATATAAACAAAATATTTACATAAAAAACAATTTTATTTTAACTTAATTTATTTTGGTAGGGAAAATAGTTAAATTATGGAACCACCCATAAATGAATTTTAAAGCCGTTAAAAAAGAAATTCGACCTCTCTAACCACGTTCCTTTTCTTATAGAAACGTTTTTGTTACAAGTATGAAAGCATCTCCATTTCGTCTTCCCATCCATCTTCATTTCTTGACCCTCATCACAATATTTCACCTTTGAAATTATCCCAGCATCTTGAAAATATTTTATAGCCTCTTCTTCTGAAGTCGGCAATTCGAACAATGTAACAAACAACATCCATAATTTTATGAAAATAACACGTCACTCACAGCTTACAGGAAGAACAAAAAATAAACAATGGAATAACTTAAGTTAGATGAGATAAGAAGAGAGGTTATGTGATATAAGATTAGATAACAAGGGAGGTTTTGACCCGACCAGCTATTTAATGAGTACCTAACATTGTAATCTCCTCCAGCAATAAAGTGTGATCCGAGGGGTTGGAATAATGAATCAAGGAGGTTATAGGAGAGTGAATTACGAGAACAGCATACAGCTAAGAAAGTTATATGGAAAGGGCGCGTTAAAAAGATTACTAATGTTGATTGAACGCCATCAGTTGAAGTGGAAGGAATAACGGAATGGGGTAAAGATTTATGTATAAGGATGCTAGAACCAGTGCGGAAAGTGTTGTCTGGGTGGTCAGATCTATAAGTGATGAAGTCTTGTATGTGAAAATTTGTCTGTTTAGTGAAATGAGTTTCAGTCAGTAGAGCAATATCAATGTGTATGTCATGAAAAAATATGTCAAGTTCGTCTCAGTGGTTGTGTAGTCCGTTAGCATTCCATAAAAGGATAGTTAGAGGCTTTGTGCTCATCGAGGGAAATTAAAAGGAATTTCGGTCAGGATTCTGGTGAGTAGAGTGATAAGAGGTTTTATAGTGTTGAAGGATGATAGAATGGAGTTATACCAGATGGATGTTGGTTGTGAAGTGGATTTAGGATAGGTTCTTGTGGCGAGTAAGGAGTGTTAACTGAGGGTGGGATCCGTCATTGTGTACTAATGGTCTGGATTCAATGGTTAGGGGGAATTTGGTGACGAGTCATCTTTTAATATTATATTCCTTAATTTTCTAAATTTGTGAAATTATTAGTTTTTTCTTTATTGAGATTTTAGTAATGTTCATATTGATATAATTTTGTTTTAAATTCATACTACTAGTTAGTTTTTTTTTCTTTGCCTGCATTTTGGAGACATACGGCTGTGTGGTTTGGAATTTTTCCAATTATGAACCAACATTTATGATCTATCTCTTGGTTAGTTTGTTACTAATTTATATTAATTCCTACTAGTTTTACTTAACCTGTTTTTTACTATCGAAGCTAATTTTTAGCCATTAGAATTGCCTATTAATATGCCTAATTGTTTTTAGTCAGAAAGTGATGAAGACAGCCAAGATGGTATGTGGGATACTAGATCACATGAAGACGTTTATTCTGAACCTGAGGATGTGAAACCACAAATAACTAACGTAAGTTAAAAATAATAATTAAAAGTACTGTTTAAATGAAAACATTTATCTTCAAACTGGTTGATTATGTATTTCAATGTTTTATAATGTTATTTTTATTTCTAGAATATATTCTAAACTTCAAAATACTTTTCAATAATAATGCTCTATTTATTCTGAGACAATTCTCTTTAGAATAATATATTAAGATAGAATGTGAGATTTGGAGGTTTAGAGATTTATAAGAATAATCACAAAATAAACAAATAGGCATAATATAGACAAATGAAATAAAACGAACTAATAATTCATATTCATATTTATAGCAACATTTATTTAAAATTTTATGAGGAGTGAATAGATAGGAAGTAATTAGACAGGCAGAATTTAAAGAAGGTGATAAGGTTATTGAAACGATGAATGTAGGAAGGAATAGAATTCCATAGGAATGAGGATCTAATAATGAAAGATCTGTCAAAAGCAACAGTTCGGTGGACCCTTGTATATAAAGCTGAAGACTAGGAATTAGGTTTTTCTGGAGTGAACAGAGGATTTGAATTGAAGGAACTTGGAGATATACACTGACAGGCAAAAAATTCCACCCACTTGATTTTTTCATGTTTTCATCTAAGAATATTTCTGCTTTGGATTGGTCTATTGTTTTTAATGAATAAATAGGTAATCTTTTTGTTTGTTTTCAATTAGGAATGTTAATATAGAGGACAATAACTCTTAATCCTTAATTCAATGAAATGATTCTAGATTCCAATGTTTACTTTCTATGGAATCAAAATGTTTATTTAGTACCATTAGTTCAGTGCCATTTCTTGCAGCACATTTCTTAGTCTCCGGCTTTTAATTTTTTCAATATTAAATTTAAAAATGCCTCTTAGTGCTGAGGATGTTGCGCGTGATGTGGCACTTATTGATGATGGACGTTCCATTAGATATGCAGCTAATGCCATCGGAGGTCCATATGTAACTTAACGAGACGCCGTCAGGCGTTTTCAGGAAACTGGTTCTTACAATAGAAGGCCCGGTTCTGGACGGCCTTGGGTAACAGAACCACAGGATGAACGGTTTTTGACTTTGAGAATTTTACGAAACCAGCACCTTACCGTTGTTCAAGAGATTCATCAGCTCGAAGAAGTTCGAGGTGTGCAAATTTCTGAACGTACCGCTCGGCGAAGATTAAATGAGTATGGATTAATGGCTTTTCGTCCAGTAAGAGGACCAGAGTTGACCAGAACTCACAGAGTAACACGGCTGGCTTTTGCTCGAGAACACAGCCATTGGACTATGGACGAATGGAGTGCTGTACTTTTTACAGATGAGTCAAGATTCGCTCTTCGATCTCCAGACGGGCGTGAAAGGGTGTGGAGAAGAAGAAACGAAAGATATGCAGCCTGTAATTTTTCCCAGAGCCAACCTTTCCAACGTGGTTCCTTAATGGTGTGGGCTGGGATTTCAATGGAGCACAGCACAGAATTGGTTGTTGTTCGTGGAGGGTCTTTGACGGCCATTGGCTATGTAGATGAGATTCAGCGATCGTTCTATTCTAATGCACGATAATGCACGCCCCCATGTCGCCCGCATAGTGCAGGCGTTCCTTCAACAGAACAATATTGAGGTTTTAGCCTGGCCAGCACATTCTCCAGATTTGAACCCCATTGAGCATTTATGGGATAGCCTCGGAAGACGAATAAGAGCGCGTGCAACACTTCCTGATAGACTGCAGGACCTTGAAAGGGCTCTTCGGGAGAAATGGGCTATCCTCCAGCAAAGATATACTAAGAGGCATTTTTAAATTTAATATTGAAAAAATCAAAAGCCGGAGACTAAGAAATGTGCTGTAAGAAACGGCACTGAACTAATGATACTGAATAAACATTTTGATTCCATAGAAAGTAAATATTGGAATCTAGAATCATTTCATTGAATTAGGGATTAAGGGTTATTGTCCTCTATATTAACATTCCTAATTGAAAACAAACAAAAAGATTACCTATTTATTCATTAAAAACAATAGACCAATCCAAAGCAGAAATATTTTTAGATGAAAACATGAAAAAATCAAGTGTGGAATTTTTTGCCTGTCAGTGTATAAAGGGGGATTATATGACATAGAAAAGGAAAATGCCACGAAATACTTGAGACAATTGGAAAGCCACTTTAACTTTTCATAGAAGTGGCAGACAGAGGCGTCCCCTGGGATCCTGAAGATGAATTATACAAAGCAATTCACCTAACGTTTTAGTTTTGCCTCCAGATCTCCAGGGACATCCCCATATACCATATAGCAACAATCAAAGGGGAGAAATATTGGGAAGTGATTAGAAGTATTGTGGTTTCAAATGGAAATAGGTGGTGGAGGTAATTTAGATGTTTTAAGCATGTTGGTGGGTATTGGATACATGGTTTTTCCAGGAAAGGGTTTGATCAATGGTATTCCAAGGTTTTTAATGGTGAGATAAAATTTGATGTAGGATCAGGGTTGAAATATGAAGAACAGTTTTAAGGCGATGACTGGAGCATGTTAAAATTTGCATTTTCTTTTCTGCATTCAGCTTCAACTTGTTAGCTTCTATCTAGTCACAGATTATATTAAGATATCTTGAAGTTTTTTATTTTGTTTTTGTTTTTTGTGGGTTGATAATAAGTCAGAAGGCGGAAAGAACAGATATATTTGGAAATTATCTGCATAAATATGGTATTGGAAGTGATGGATCAGGAGGAGAAGTTCATTAATGTTCATATCAAACTGAGTAAGGGATAGGGAGGGACACCACAAGAGAAGAGAAGTATGTTAGAAGGTTGGCCGGGAACAACTACATACTAGTACCGATCTGAGAAAAAGGATTTGAACCAATTTAGGACACTGTTAGATAGGGGAAGATTTAGGTTGATGTTTTGTACTATCTGTCCATCTTCATGAACTTTTCATATTAAATCTTTTTTAATGTACTACATTTATTACTTTATTAGGTACTGCATTTTTATAATACTTAATATTACTCTATAATACTTACTATTGAGTTGGCAAATAAGTCCTTTCGGTTTTTCTGTTTATTTTTATATCACTATGATATACTTCTTATCTGATAAATTAATCCCTAAGGTAGATTGTTTAACCTGTTTGTAATATGTGAACAACGATATCTGTTAACTCTTGTTTAGATTAGCTCAGTATTGTGTTTGCTACTGCTCTGTGAATATAGAAGAAAATATTCATTATCGCCATATTTTGTTTGTTGAATTATTTTAAAAAGAGTAAGCGTGCTACAGAAGCTCATAGAAAAATTTGCAGTGTTTATGGGGATGATGCCTTAACCGAACACACCTGTCAAAATTGGTTTGCCAAATTTTATTCAGGAAATTTTAACATCAGTGATGTTCAATGGTTGGTCGTAAAATTGAAATGAGCAATGTTAAGGCCATTGTTGATCAAAATCCCACCCAATCAGTGCGAGAGATAGCTATGCCCCTAAATGTGACACACAGGCGTAGAAAACGATTTGTACAAGCTTGGCTATGTTTTCAGGCTAAATGTTTGGGTCCCTCACTCTCTAACCGAAGTCAACATGGCAGCACACATTTCTGTTAGTGATTCACCAATTTTTCCAAAGGTTGGTAACAGGAGATCAAAAATGGATATTTTACGATAACGTAGTTCTTATAAAATCTTGGGGCCCTTGTAGTGAGGCTCCTAGAAGAATGTGAAAACCCAGATTGCATCCAGAGAAGATAATGCTTTCCATATTGTGAGATTTCAAGGGTGTTACTTTCTATGAGCTATTGCCATCAGGAAAAACAATTTATTCAACTCTATATTGCTCACAATCAGCAAAATTGGACCGATCAATAAAAAATTAATGCCCAGAACTGGTAAATCAGAAGGGTGTTGTGTTCCATTAATATAATGCTAGGCTCCACACCTCATTAGTCACAATAAATTATTGAGCCTTAGATGGGACCTTTTGCCCCACCCTCCCTATCCACCAAACCTACTCCAAGTGACTACCATTTATACCGTTCTCTGTGGAACTCCATGGATGTAAAGAAATTCGAAAAGAAAGAGGACATCAAAAACCACCTGGATCAGTTTTTTAACAATAAACTCCAGACATTCTATGAACATGGCATTATGCAGTTGGTGGAAAAAAGTCATATTAAATATTGGTCAATATATTGTAGATCAAAATAAATTTTATGTCTATAGTACATTGAGTTTTATTTCACCCTGAAAAACTGATAGGACTTATTTGCCAACTCAATACAATTTTATTTTAATTAGTTATAATTTTATCTTAAAAATGAAAATAGCATTATAATTATTTGAATAGGCTTTGAAGAAAATTTGACTTTTTAAAAACGAAGTTCAGTATTTTCCTCTTTTGTTTTATTTAGGAAGTATTTCAGTATTTCTAAACTAATTAAAAATTGAAAGAAACAAAATTTGTAATTATATGTCTCATTTGTTGCTTTATTGTCAAATATAATCTACAATATTGTATTTATATAGATGGTGCTGTTTGACATTTAAGCAATGGCTTGTATTAATTGCTATGATATAATTTTTTTGTGGTAGGAAAGGATACTTGGTATTTTGCCTTGGTGATTTATTTTTTATTATTAATTTAATTTATATGTTATCAAAAATTAGAAGAATTTCTTTTGCATGTCAACAATGGTATGTGAAAATTGGAGAACCTTCTTTATTTATTACATTTCAGAATGTTCTCCCATCCTCATAAGTAAACATACTGTTCCAAGATTATCACTTCAATCTAATGAAAGATACATACCTAGTTCATAATACTCACTCTGGATTTGTCAAGATTACATCCATTAAAACTATTTTGTTAACAGTAATATGTTCTGTTATATATAACATAAGAGTGTCTTTTATACAATACAAATGTAAATAAATAATGTTCAACTTTGGTATGGGAAACTGGGGAAATTAGTTGAAAATCTTGGAAGTTTAATTTTCTTTCTCACTAGTGTTGTTTATAAACTGAAATAAATTGTTAATAGTTTTGGCTGTAACCATTGTAAAATAATAATGTTATTACATTATTTCCTTTTTAAAAGGACAGGTAAAAAAAGTCACATCTTATGAAACTGATCAATAAATGAAGAAACAAACATTTATTTTTTCAATATTTCATGTAGTGGCATTTCTTTTAAAATTCCTGGCTCATGTGTCCTTGTGAAATGTTATATCCTTCCAGTTACTTCATCAACTTACTTACAGGCAATATAAATTTTACCATACCAAACTAAAACCAATTCCTTAAAAAAAATAAAATAAAAAAAAAATACTGGGAGTCTTCATAAATCACAATTTCTTTATTTCAAATCATTACTTTTTGTTTTCAGTGAATATATCATTAGCAACAGTGTGAAAGCATGTAAGTCAAAAATAGTTTGATATGAGTTTTTTTATTATTATTTTATTTTTTGTGTGAACTTACCTACCAAAATAGTTTGTTAATTTTTTCTATTCAGCATTTTATTACTTGCTACTACATACTAATTTTTTAAAAAAAATAGCACCTCAATATGATAAAAAATAGATGTTTTAAACATAATTTAAAAACTTAAAAATTGTGTCTTGTCAAAAACTTTGGATTCTACAGTTATGTGGTGTTGTTGAAAATATGTTTTTGCAATTTTTTAGTATCTGAAATTGCGAGCCTACATTTTATTCATTATACTGTGGTTTGTTTAAAATATATGATTGATACTGACGTTTCAGTACCAGGAACCAGTACTTTTCTAATGTAGAAATAACACCACTGGAGTGTTATAGATAGAATATGAAATTAAAAAATCAATAAAATTTAATAAAAAAGTAAATAATTTAAAAGAAAACTCATTTTATTCAAGGATTAATGTTTACTGGGGCAGAGAAGGGAACTTTGTAGTGAAAACAGGGAAAGTGATTGAAGCTAGGCACATTTATTCCAAAGAGTTAAATACTAGTAGGAATATGACATATTTAGAAAGAAGAGTTGGCTGGTCTAAGAAAGATGATGTGAAACGATCAGATTTTGAAGGATTTTAAGAAATGACCCAATTTCTGAAGAATATTAATGCACAAGGGTATGCAGTATATATAATTTATTCTTAAATAAAGAAGAAATGCCACCTAGTCATATAGAGCCTAGTCATAATTAATCCTATTCATTAAATAATATATAAATCAAAATTTGATAATTACAGGAATATCTCCTCTAAGAACATCATAAAATATTCGCCGTACTTCTTAATCAAAAGCTCGAAAAATAGTTTAAAAATCATAAAATGGTTTAAAAATCAAAAAATTTAAGAATATCACTGTGGTTTCTGGGATGGCCAATCAATGGTGGCTTTCATTCGCCCTAAGGTAAACTCTTGGAAAGACTTATGAATTTAATGTAAATCTGTCCCACCATCCAGTGGACTTTAAACAGGATTATGATAATGCCAATAGAGAATAATTGATGAAAACTATAGAAAGGTAAAATATAAGAAAGACCAACAGTAACCAAGTGAAACTTGAGTACTTGCCAAAGAAACTGAAAGATTATTGAATGCGTGGGAACAAAAAGTACTTAAACCTGTCTGTGAAGAATATATATATGTACTAGAAACAAGATCCTGTGACATTTATTAAAAAGTCTCAATTAAGGTGGGTAAGGGATGTCTAAGGGGGTGGGGGAATCTGACATTTAAAATCGGAAAAAGTTGGAATTTTTTTCTTTAACAATCTTGATTTGAGTTGATGCAAAAATAATGCAAGTTTCTGGCTTTGCTACTTTCTAAAACCTCATCTTAGTGGTTCGATGGTAAATAGCCTGGCTATCATATCGTATAACTTGAGGCCAACATCAACATTGTAGCCTTTTTATATTTTATAGAACTCAAAACATATGAAAAATCAACATTACATTATGTGATTTTCTTATTTTATTCTATATTCACATTATCTATTTATATTTTCTAATATTTGTATCTATTTATAAAGTGTTTGCTTTTAGTTTAAGATAAGTGTTGCAAATGAAGTTTAAAAGTATATAAACAACTTTAAAAGCTATATAAAATAACTTTGAGGCATTAAAGCCAATCATTAAATTACTTTCAAATTCTTTTTAATGATTTATTATGTATTTTAAGTTCATTTAGTTCATATTTTCATCACACTCAGTTCCATCTAATATTCTTTTGACAATGCTAGTAGTAGTTCTAAGTTTAGGTATTTTTTAAAGAATTGGATTGTTTTTATGTTTTAGAATAATGCTACCAATATGTGTGTTCCCACTGTTATTGAAGGAGAAGGAACTGCCAATCCAGAGACATCTACAGAGCACCATGGTGACTTTTAAAATTATTTATGCATTTAAAAGTATATATTATTATAAATTGTTTTTGAGGAAATATAGTCTATATTACTCATTTAGTTTAGTTAATAAAATTAAATATCTAAAGGCATTAAAAAATTATGTTGATGTTGATAGTTTTGAAGCATTTTCTTACAAGGTTTGTGTGAGATAGCAGGGTGACAAAATTGAGGTTTTTTTAGAGGGATAATGTTTGTTTTAAAAAATGTGGAGAAATTCCGCCATAAAGTAAACTGCAGTGTAAGAACCTTTATGAATTCCCTCTCCCCTCCATCCCCTAAAGATTCTTTTTAAAATTTTTTTAGTTGTATTATAAATACATTATTTGTGATTAAGAAATAGAGACTCCAGTAAATATCAGACTAGGTGAAAGGATTATATTCTTTTGGTCCAAGTTAAATTGTATTGAAGCCATCTCAGCTATTTATCAGATCCTCTGAAAACACACTAACACTAATGTTGAAGAATCTTGGATATGCATCCTGTTTATTTAGATGGTGTCTTGAAATATCATTTAGTCCTCTTTAGTATTTTCTTTTCTCTAAAGTCTAAATGATTGTAATTTCTTCTAACTTCAAAAGTCAAGCTATTGAGTTTTTTTCATTGTTTTAGAATGTTATTCGAATATGAATGTCATTTTACACAAAACTGGCGGCCCCAGGAATGAAACACAAAATAGGTCTTGGTTCTGAAACCCATTATTGCTATAAAGGCAACATTTTTACTATTAGTATATCCTGTTCTGACTTAATAATAAATATATGTATTTTTTAATAGTTCTATTCGCTTTAATTATATTATCTTTTTGCAGATGTGTCTACAGCTGCTGCTTCTGCAGCCAGGATTTCTACTGGTGCTCCTTCCCATACCAAAACAGGTTACAGTTCTTATAATTGTATAAATTTTCTATTTGTTTAGATTGTTCCTCAAGGATTTTTAGGAAGATCTGTAATCAATAAAATCATAGATTACATTTTTTTTTATTTTGATGATATTAGATAAAGTGTGTCCAAAATGTTTTTATATAGGTCAAAAAAAATTATACTTAATTAAATAATTCCATATTCTCATCTTCAAAAGACTCCCCTGAAATACAATCCACTTATGCCGACATTATGATTCATGTGGGTTTTAATGCGGTTGTTCAAATATCTATTTTTGAAGTGCCATCAGCATGGAGTTTTCTATTGTTGAAGAATAGTGAGTCAATATAAAATTTCTTGTGAAACTGGGTATGAATGACTGGAAAATCCATCCCTAATCAAGGAGTAGAAACAAACTTAGGAGCTAAGGATGATAGTCTTGGAAATCGAGACTGTTCTTGGAAAGATCTCACTGACTAGCTTCTTTAAAATATGTCTGGTTCGGGGTCGACTAAATATGGCATGAGAAGGGTGGTATATTCTTCATCGTCACAGTGTCCCTGCTTAAAAAAAGAAAGATTGTCGCTATTTGTACATCAGTGAACATTGCCCCTTATTCACTTGGTTTGGTACCATGTAACTTTTTCTTGTTTCCTAAGTGTAAGATGGTGCTTCAAGGGGGGTGGGAATCACAAAGTGAGTGGGGAGGAAACCACAAAGTCTTGATATCTTGAAGTTTAATTTCTTGAAAGCCTGTACCACTTGGCATTTCCTTAAGGAGGAAAGAAGTTCTGGTGGAATATACTTTAGTAGAGTAGAGCATACTAACCTTACATCAGAGCAGAGGAGGTCCAACAGTGTCAATTTCAAAATGTTGATTAACACACTTTAAACCTCAATTAGTCAAATTCTCATGATTCTTGATTTTTGTATCTCAAATTTTGATAAACCAAGGGTAAAGTCAGTTGCATGAGATTCACGTTATTGAGATATTTTTTTTTGTTGACACTTTTATTTATCTATGTTCACAAAATAAAATACAATAGTGAAGTTAGTAATCACCGGAAGTGATAAAATAGAGCAATTTATTTTTTATTTTTAGTGTTGATTGATCATTTTTAGATAAAATTTGATTCTATCTATAAGAAATGCATCCCTTGCTTGAAGGAAAAGTATAGAGATGGATTCAGCGAAAGAGAATTCTCAGTTAAAGGACTATGGTTCGGAAGCAGGGGATCCATTCCTCTTACTACAAGTAATTTCTTGCAGTGACTAGGTGTCGAAAGGAAGCAGATACAGACCCTGGCAGAAACTATTATTTTAGACTCCTTCCATCACCACATATATTGATTAATCTTGGCTTTCTCTTATTCAATCCTGAAAACTGTTCTTGGCATACTAGTTTTTATGGCATAGTAGTTTTTGCAGTGGCCCCACCTAACTCTCTTATTTTTTAAAAATGATTATCTATTTATTGATTGAGCATGCTGTGTGATTTAGCAACCCAACACAGTTGAGCAGCTGTGCAATATTATTGTAGTTCACTATAGTATCATGAAGGCATTTGATTTGACCAACTTATGAATGCGCAAAACAGGGAGTTTGTATGATCCTACTGTAATATTATAGTTTATTATATTAGTAACACCCATTGTGATACACTCTTGGTTTTTGAAAATCGGTACTTGATTTTTCTCTTCTGCCCATAAAATTTTATTTGGGAACATTTAAAGATTCAGCCTAGTCTTGCTCATGTTGTAAACTTGTTTTGGATTTAATTCATTCATTGATCTCATTTCCTCAAATTTAGTTCTAAAGTTGGCAGCATTGATAGCTTTAGTAGACCATTTCTTATCAGTTACACTAGCTAAGTGTAAGCTGTGTTGCTTTTTCCATCAGTCTATCTAATCATTTTTCCTACCAAGAATTGCTATAACTGGATTCATATCATATTTTTGCTCATTTTCTTTACAGAATTCAGTTTACTCAGGCACCTAGTGGTCATCTGCAGTGTAGCAGATAAGATTTTTTATTGAATTTCATTCATCTGGTCATGTTCTCAAGCTACAGAACACCTGTAAATTTTTAACTTTTTATAAGTAGTATATTACTTTTTGACTAGTGGTCAGTGTATTTTGTTAAAATAGGCTATTCTCTTCCTCATTAATACAAATGAATGGATATCCAGACTCTTTGAAACCAGGCCTGAAATGTTTTACTATAGTAGTATTCTTGTGATTTAAAAATACTGTTTTTGAAGCTCTTCTTATGGTACATTTAATTTTTGTTTAATCCTAAAATGTGAAGCATGAGTACAAAAATATGAAAAAATCAGAGTTAAAATGGAAGAGAATCTTCTTTTTGTGAAAAAAGGATCACTATTGGTTGAATCACGTTTATATGACGTTCTATGAATTATAAAAATATCCTAGCTCCAGTAAACAATGGATCCCTATCAACTTTCTGGAAGCCGAAATTTCCCTTTCTCTGTATTGTTCTTTTATTTTTCTCACTAGGTCAGTTAACGTGTATTCGATAATGTGTGCTTGGAGCGCTACTACACTGAAATTAGTGTATTTATGAAATAAATTAATTATAAAATAAAAGCGAAGAATGTGTAGAAAATTAAGGTATTGAAATATTAAATAGATATCTATGTATACAGATACATAAAAAATAAAATAAAATTAATTTTAATAAAATATTCAATAAATAATATAAAAATGCAGTTAACTTTATTCTTAAATGCATGTGAAAGATTGATATTTGGAAAGATAGAGAAATAATTGGTGTTTAAATGAAGATGAGGTTTTACTAAGGGAGATGGGTAAGGATTTCTATAAGGAGGTAGTTATAATTATTTAGGATTTTTGAAGGTAGTTATATGCTAAGGAATATATATGTTTGTTGGCTAGTTATGTTTATAAGGTAAAATTAACAACAAAGGCTGGATAAATAAAGAATTTAGAGAGGCTTTCCGGTTCTAAAGGATCAGAAGAGATAGACACTTAAGAAGGAAGCATTGTTATTGCGAAAAAGCCATTTTAGTAGGCATTCCATTTGGAGAGGAAAGGAAACAAATGAGATTTTTTGAGTTTTGGGATTTTTGAAAGAAACAAATGATTAGTGAAATTATGAACGATGAATGGAATCAGGAAGATCATTAGTGTAGGAAGAGTAAAAGGTTGGTGAGATGGATCTCTGAGAAATATCACTTGATATTTGAATTGAGAGAAACGATGATTATTGGAAGTAACTGTAATGACCTTAGTATGTAAATTTGGTCAATTAAATATCCAAAATGACCTGCAATATCACTTAAATCTCCCTTCTAAAAATAAAGTGGTCCGATGACTTATTTCCATAATATGTTAATTGAAATCTTGCCAATGATTAACTTCTCTCCATGTTAAATTCAAATACATCTCGTTAACTTTATTATATTGTATATAGTTGTGAGATTCATCGATCAGTATAAAAATGTGGTTTATTTAAATTTATATGCGTTATATTTCTGTGTGAGATATTTTAGAGTTTTTTTACATTTATTTTTCATTTAAATGACCTTTCAGAAATTTATTTTAGTTGTTTCTTGTTTTTTTTAATTTACATGGTATTGTATGTGGAATTTGATTCGTCTTGATGTTTTTAACTAAATGTATTTTGTTTACTAGATTTAATGGATGTAATTAAAATGACTGCATATATCCAGCAAGGAGGTAGGAGACCACATTTTTGGGAAACATCATCAACTAAGAGAGTGATGGAAGCGATAAAAAATAAAGAGATTGAAATGAAAGTAGCTGCAGAACTATTAGGAGTTTCATATGGAACATTATATGGGAGATACAGGGATGCCTATGGTTGCTTGAAACATCCTTATAGGTAGGACTTTTACCATTAGTTAATTTGACTCTAAATTATATTTACTGGTCTAATTTCAAAAACTGTTGTGTTAGTCTGTGGGCCAGACACCCCTACCGTGCACCCCCTCCCCCCACATCCCTATAAATTGCATATCGTGTTCCTTGTAACTATTTATTAAAAAAAAGTGAACGCACTGCCCCAAAATGGTGTCTAAACATGGCGAATTGACGATTTTGACTTTAGTTAGTTTTTTGGTCAATGAGAATCAGAATTTGGCTCAATTTCCTCATAGTTGGTCTTTTATTAAAGCTGAATAGTCAGAGAATAATGAAACATAAAGAAATATTAAAAAGTAATTGGCTTAAATTATGAAAAACACCAGTAAAGTCAATTTTTTTAACAAATACATTTTCAAGTTACAAATCAAGCCTCGTTTGTAATTAAACGGCCAACAATAACACAAAACGTGCTGAAATAAAACATCTGGAGAATATATTTCTCTTTCGAAAACATTGATTATTTTTTTAAAAATTTTAAGCAGTTCCGTAGAAAACGCACTTATGCGACAGAAAAGCGGTACTGGCATGGGTGCCTACAGGCCTCTACCACACCATTCAGTACACATAAATGGCTTACTTATAGTGATATAATAACGTTTTTGGTACATTATATTGGTTTTATTAACGAACAATTATTAATGCAATAATTAAATTGTAAAAAAAAATACTAAAATTTAAAAAAAAAATTATTATTTTTTTTAAATTTGACCACCTTTATTCTATACGTAGGTCGTTTAAGACCTTAATTGTAAAAATGATATAATTATAATAATATAACTTAATTAAAAAATACTTTGCTGAATATCTTGATTTTTTTTTTTTTATTTAACGTTTGTAATTTAACACTGTTTTGTATATTTACTGATTCTTAAAGGTAATTTAAATTGTATATACTTCTCAGGAAATGAGTCATATAATTACTTGTTTTATAAACTAAAATAATATACACCTAATCTTAACAATATATAATGAATAGGTGCCGGGTTATTTACTAAAACTCATATATCACTAATTAAAAAGTCAATTTTTATTTCCTTTATTTTGTGCGGAAGTTGGACTATCTCATAAATAAATAGGAAATTTTAATATTGAATGAGTTATTCTCTCTATACCAAGAAAGATAGAAAGGGTGACGCTATAAGTTCTTCTATAAACCAGAACTGATTATTTGGATTTGGTCTCAAAATGAGGAAAATGCGAAATTGAACCCGAAAATTGCAAAAAATACATTAAGCGAATGAGAAAGGAAAAGATAGGACCAGTATTCATTATATGGCTAAATGAATGTATAGTAGACAGATGAACAGAATATTTCAAGGTGCTGCTAAAAGGGGGTCAATTGCAGTTTTGCATGATATTAAGTGGACAGAATATTTAGGTTTATTATGATGAAAACCACTTTATTTTCGATTGCTGTAGGTGCACATTGGGATTATCTCCACTTTGAAGCAGGATATAGAGAGGTATATCGAGAAAGGGAAATAGCTCTCCTTCTGTTTAGTGCATTTGCAAAAGATTGTTTAAGGAAGCTAAAAGAAAAACAAGCTTTTCTGAAAGATAATTAGATATTAGCACAATAGGGGCGGGGTGGCCGAATGGGCTAAAGCGTGTGCACAGCACCGTGAGTTGCCTGGTAACCGATAGCAGATTTGAGAAGGTTAAAAAGTACGAGTTCGCGTCCTGGTGCAGGAAGGAATTTTAAATTCCCCGCCCTCACCCTCCAGCCTGGGAAAATCCCATATAGCCTGAAAGGCGACGTAGGGAAGAACAAAAAAAAAAAGATATCACAATCTAAAGTTCGAGCCACTAAGCAGATAGAGAGCTTTTTTTTTATATATGGACTACTCTATAACCTCCCTTAAAGTGAAGACAGTCCCAATTTGCAACTTCTCTTCCAATTCTCTGTGCAACTTGAGTTTCTCAATTCATATTGCTCTAGCAATCGACAATATTTCTTATTCCAGCTTCTAGGATTCTTGGTAGAGTTTCTTTGATATACTAAACATGAATGGATCTTGATGGGTATTACATTTCCTAGTATCTCCTTGTAAAGGTAAAAACCACAGTCCTTTCATATAATTTTCTAATATACTTGTTGCCTATGTACGCGCAAAACTGTGCAAAGCAGTTCGGTTTAGTTTGTCCAGACCAGCTGACTTGCCAATTGCTTCGAACAAATCTTTTTTGCTGATAAAATGGTCTTCACCATACTAAACCTGCATCGTCCCCTTAAGATCATCCAAACTTCTCCAGCATTTGACTTTTTTAGCAGCATCTTGAAATATTCTGTTCATCTGTCTACTATATATTCGTTTAGCCATTTAATGGATACTGATCCTTGTTTTATTTTCCGGGATTTTGGCACTTCCTTTCTCGTTCACTTAATGTATTTTTCTAATTTTTGGGTTCAATATCAAGTTTTTTCTCATTTTGAGACTAAATACTAACAATCAGTTCTGGGTTATAGAAGAACTTATAGCCCCACCCTTTCTATCTTTCTTTTTGCAGAGAGAATAATTCATTCAATATTAAAATTTCCTATTTATTTATGATATAGTCCAACTTCCGAACAAATTATTCCACAATTTCTGTACAATAAGTTTTACTAAACAACCTGGCAACTATTCATTATATGTAGTTCAGATTAGATAAATATTAATTTCGTTTATAAAATAGGTATTAATATGACTCATTGCCAGGAAAGAATATACAATTTAAATTACCTCTAAGAATCAGTAAATATACAAAACAAAGCCTTAAATTGCAAATGTTAAATAAAAAAAATTCAAGATACTCAGCAAAGTATTTTTTAATTAAGTTATATTATTATAATTATATCATTTTTACAATTGAGAATAAAGAATCTATTTTTTATGTATAGAATAAAGAAAGTTAAATTAAAAAAAATATAATATTTAAAAATAAAAAAATATTTAAATATAAAAGATATTTTTTAAAAAATTTTAGTATTTTTTTTTTGACAATCAAATTATTGCATCAATATTTGTTCGTTAATAAAACCAATATAATGTACCAAAAACGTTATATCACTATAACTAAGCCATTTATGTGTACTGAATGGTGTGGTAGAGACCTGTAGGCACCCACGCCGGTACCGCTTTTCTGCCGCATAAGTGCATTTTCAACAGAACTGCTTCAAAATTTTTAAAAAATAATCAGCGTTTTGGCAAGTGGAATATATTCTCCAGATGTTTTTTTTTTCAGCACGTTTTGCGTTATTGTAGGCCGTTTAATTACAAACGACGCTTGATTTTTAACTTGAAAATTTTTTTGTTAAAAAAATTGACTTTACTGGTGTTTTTCATAGTTTAAGCCAATTATTTTTTAATATTTCCTTATGTTTTATTATTCTCTGACTATTCAGCTTTAATAAAAGACCAACTATGAGGAAATTAAGTCAAAGTCGTCAATCCGCCATGTTTGGTCGCCATTTTGGGGCAGTGCGTTCACTTTTTTTGTGGGGACATTAGCTTTTTTTTTATAAATAGTTACAAGGAACACAACAATATGCAATTTATAGGGATATGGGGGGGGGAAGGCGCACGGTAGGAGCGTCTGGCCCACTGTGTGTATGTTAGACATCCATGAAGATTTTATTCATTTTTAAATTAATTAAAGATATATATATATATATATTAAAAAAAATAATTATATGAGAGAAGTTGATTGGGGATTGCAATAATTGGAAAAATCTACATTCAACCATTGCTCCACCATTCTCAATAATTGCACCATGAATTTAAATGTAAAGTTACAAAAAATGAAGAATATCCTTCCTTTATGTTAATTGCAAATCTATTCATTCAACATTAGATTCTATAAGAGCTGTTTTACAAGACAGATAAATATATGTATAATAATAAAAAAAAGTCCCTGTTCAAATTGAGCCAATTATCATGGATGTCTTAAAAATTTGCTGTTCTGTATTATTATTAAAGCACTGTGTTCCAGGCCAGCTTTATTGCAATAAATATATTGTTATTGCTTTGCACCATATTCTGATTTTATGGCGAACAGTCATAACACCTCCTATCTGATAGCTCTTTAGGATGATTAGCCTGAGTATGAGTGTGTGTCATTGAAAAAAAATAAAGCTTTTGTTTCTTCAGTTTTCTATCTCTTTGCTCATCTTTCCCCTCCCCCCATTATATGTTTTAGTTTCTCAATATCCATTGATGTTTATTGTTAAGCCACATTCAAGGAAATCAACCTTGACCACTCTTAGTTTCTAATAAAAAGTTTCCTTCTGGTTGACGGTTGACAGCGCTTACTAACATTTTCTTGAGTAGTCAGTGTGTCCCCATTTCATAGATTGTCTCCCAAATGACATGCTGAAACTATGCCTCATCTTTAGTTATTTATCATACTTGTCTTTTTTTTTTTTACTTTCACTTACCTATATAAGAAATATATAGTAATGGAAAGTATTGCAATCGTGAAAACTTTCGAATCTAAGTTTTCAACAGAAATAAATGTTTTGAGGTCACCCGAGTCCAAATAACCAAGTCCTGCAAATTGGTCTGTATGTGTGTGTGTGTATGTGAACAGTCTAGATCAAAAACGAAAAATCGTATTGAAGTAAAGTTACATATTTAAAGTTTATTTATGCCTGGGGTGTGACAGCGACTTTCGTCAAAATTGGTTAACCGGGAGGGGCACTTAATATAAGCGATTTTATACACTTTCACAATTTTCTCAGAAATGAGTTATAATTTTGATTAAATTCATTATATCAGTGTAAAATTAGCAGTTTTTAATATAATGTGGGTTTTATTCTCATTAATGTTCTCTGACAGGGCTTAAATGACTAATGTTCAATATTTCTTCCTCTAAAATACCTTTAATTTTTTTTATTTGAAATAATTAACCATTTCACAATTGACTCTAATATCAAAAATGGTTTTAATATAAAATATGAAAGAATTTGATGATTAACTAAAGCAGAAATAAGAGATTGCAATGTAGAACAGTTGTTATAAAGGTACTAAAGGAACATGAGCACGCCTGTCCTCACCTGAGCTTTCCCAAAAGATTAGAACAGGCTTCCATACGTAACATTAGCTTAATATAATACAGACTACCACAACATTACATACATGAACATATGCGGTTTTCATAAATGCTATCGTTTGTATTCTTTAATATTTAATTGTATAGATTACAACAATAAGAAAAATTAAAATTTGTATATATACCGATACTTAAACAAATAAAAATACCTACAATAAAATACAAATAAATATAGTGGCATTCTTGTCGGACTAAAATTATTTTGTGGCACTTAATCATTTATTATAATCAAATAAATAATTGAAATATACAGTTGTAAAAGGAAATTGCTAATGTCAAACAAAACAAATATAATACATTAGGCAGCCATGAAAAACATATCGTAATTAATTGTTTTATGTTTCCTAACGTCTATAATTTTTACTTTTACTTCCCTTTGTCTGAAAATACTTACTTATTTCTGCTAAGAAGAAGATGGTAAATGAAAGTTGTGTGATTTTGTTTGTGACCAGATTTTTATTTTTTTGTCATCGCCTTTGGCTATACAAGGTTTCCTGTACTTGTAAATCATACTTGTGATCAGCTCCAAAGAATATTAGCAATACAATAACTTTTGTGATGTTCCGTTAAAAGTTTCAGCATGCAAAATAAAGCTTCCCCATTGAATATCTCAAATAAACTTGTAAAAATTGAGGAAAATGAAACAAGATCTCTGTTTCTTGATTTTGTCAATCACAAGGCTTGACTGATCATTATGGTCACTTGTTGTCTCCATACGCCTCACAAAATTGTTAGTGAATTTTAATTGGTTGGTGTTGTTTTGTGATTAAAACCTAATAAAAACTTCCCCCACAACTTGTGAGATTTTCTATTTCAGTCCACATTTCCAAAATCACTGTATTATATTAGTTTGCAGGTTACTAGAGCTATAAGTTAACAGATAATTGGGACCTTTTAGCAGAAAAATAACCGAAAATGGCTGCAACATCTCTATTCACTACTATGTCGGAACCTAAGGCACTTTCTAATTAGTTGTCATATAGTAGCTCTACCTAAATCATTTAAATATATTAATATAAACTGTATAGAAATATTTTACTCTATGAATCTGTATTTAGATTATGGCGTGTGTGTGCATTTGTTTATCTTGCTTCTTGACTTAATCAAGACATGCAAAGTATGCTGAAAGAGTTGATAAACCAATTTGGGTTTTACTCCCATTATGTGTGTGTTAGCATTAGAAATCTGTTTATTTCTTATTGGAAACTTATTGTGGTTCTACCCAGAGATGGGCAAATGCCAAAGTGAGTACTGAGTCCTAGTATTTTACTCAAATAGCTGACCTGCGCCATTTTGAGTACTTTACTCACACTCTATTATAAATTATAATTTCAAGTACCATATGCCTATAGTTAAATAAATAAATTATATTAACAGATGTGCCATTGTTCTAATTACATAAATATTGTTAAATAAAGACTTTTAATTGTTTAATTCACTACTAATAACAAATTTCGTAATTCTTTCTTAAATAAAATCAACATTACGATCCCGTTATACATATACATCTATTTAAAAGTTTCATATAGTTTTGTAATTTGTTCTTAAAGACTTTATTTTTTTTAAAATAATCTCTATTTTGAGGTTATGCCTCTGCGTTTTGACTTTTTTGAGTTTTTCGGATTTCTGTCATATAAGGATCTATTTATATGTTCTCCGAGCCATAGATTTTGAAAATGATAACCGGTATATATACAAATTTTAAATTTTTATTGCTGTAATCTATACAATTAAATATTAAAAAATACAAATGGTAACATTTATGAAAACCACATATGTTCATGTATGTTGCGATCTTTTATTTCTCCTTTAGTTAATCTTAAAATTCTTTCATATTTTATATTTAACTATTTTTGATATTAGAGTTAATTGTGAAATGGTTAATTATTACAAATAAAAACAATTAAAGGTATTTTAGAGGAAGAAATATTGAACATTAGTCATTTAAGCCCTGTCAGAGAACATCAATGAGAATAAAACCTTCATTATATTAAAAACTGCTTAATTTTACTCTGATATAATGAATTTAATCAAAATTGTAACTCATTTTTGAGAAAATTGTGAGTGTAGAAAATCACTTATATTAAGGACCCCTTCCGGTTAGCCGATTTTGACGAAAAAGTTGCTGTAACACCCCAAGTATATACAAACCTTATATATTTAATTTCACTTTGATAGGACCTTTCGTTTTTGAGCTAGACTGTTCACATACATATACACATACAGACTGTTTTGCAGAACTTGGTTATTTGGACTCACAAAATGGACATCATTTTTAAAAACTACAGCTCCGAAAACATAAATTGACCCACATATGAAAGAATCCGAAAAACTCAAATAGGTCGAAACGCAGTGGCATAATCCCAAAATGAACATCATTTTCCTAATCTAAGGCTCCAAAAAGGGAGCTGCTGCCTTCCTCTTAAGGATACCCAGGATGGACGCATCTATTGCACCGGGGTCTTCCCACTCTTCTGGTGGAATAGGTGCCTTTTTTTATCTAGTATCTTATGAGGTTTCTGATGTGGTGTTATCCTTGCAATATGAATAAGGATAAATAGGAAACCAAATATTCACCTGTGAAATGTGGCTTTAACGTTATAAAGGAAGCATTTTTCAGTATATACATGTCAGTGGGAAGATAGAGTGTATTATGAGTTTCTCTAATCAGGTGAAACCATTAATACTGATTGCTGCTGACAAACCAATCAATATGAATCACACTTTGATCATAAAATGACTCAAAAGGTATGACAAAGCATTTTTGCTTTGTGAGAACGCCCTGTTATTTTTTTCAAAACTAGTTAGACGTATTAAAGGGTCTTGTCTGGAAAGTATTCATCCTTCCGCTGTATTCTTTCTATTACTTTGTTTATCAGATCTTTTTCCTGCAAGTTACCGCTTATTTTGATCAATAGTATACATACTTTCCAAGCACTTCTTCAGAACATGAAGAAGTGGAAAATAGGGGTTTGAACCAGAGGTCTCCAAACTATGGTCCGTGAAAGTTTCTGTGATTACATTGTAAGATTTTGAAAAATATGAAATTCATTTAATCACCCAAAGGAAGGTTACTCCCAACTTTATTGCACTAGTTGCTTTTCTTATAAAGTTCATTTCATAACTGAAGTGTCTTTTATAGAACAAGTTTTTTTTTAAATCATACACCTTGGCCCACAGTACTTAATGGAGGTCTCTATGTGATGTGGCCCGTAGACTAAGAAGTTGGGAGACTCTTGCCTTAAAACCAAAATAAGTTCTAATAGGATGCAATTCTAAAATTACATTAAATATGGAAGAAATGTAGTTTGCCATGGAAATTTCTTTGAATAGATGTTTCTCTTATTTTTTATTTTATTTTATTTTTCAAAATACAAAACTTGCATCATTAATTTCTTCACTTGGTATGTAATAATATACTTTTCTGCAGACTAATTGTTTGTCAGTGCCTTCAGTATTGTCTACTTCAATAAATTTCATTATTAGACTTTTTTTAAAAATAAAACTAGAATGTCCCAGTGATATACTAGTCATTGGGAAGACCAGAAATAATGGTGACTAAACCTCAGTTCCATTACCACTGTAGATTATCATGTTTGGGCTATATGCTTGATGAAATTATGATAATAGTGCTTCTAAACTTATGTACTACTTATTTTGTATAAATATAACACCCTGATTTTTCAGGAATTCGTTTTTAGTATTTCTAATGCTATAGACAATAAAGCACAATCTATATCTATTCATGGTATATTTTTTCTAGGGTCCGTGAATTTTGGCATGAGCCCCCATCCGTTGAGGTAATCAGTAGACTACAACGTAAGGAACTATCATTATTTAAAGCAGCTGAAATGTTGAATGTGACTGTTACCACATTGGCTAATTACCTTGCTGCTTTAAACAAAGAAGACGTTGAAGATGATGATGAAGAAACAGTGGATAGTGTAGCTTGTGCTCAGCAAGCTCTTAGTAAGAACCCTGACATAACAATTGTAAAAAAAGAAAAGCCGGATGATGCGTCAACTAGTTTGAATGGAAATAATTAGTGATTTATTGTTGAAAATGTTAACTAATAGTGTGGAAACTGTTTTTTTATTTATATATACATATGTATGTGTGTATAAATACATATATATATATTTATTTATTTGATCTGAAATGAAATTGAGTTGTAGTCATCGGTATATAGTACACTTATGATATACATTTTAATTTGATTTATGTTTTTAGATTTTTTTTATTGCAAGCTTTGTCGACTATATAAAGCTATATAAATGAATTACTGTTCTTCAGTTTAAGTTATTTTGGTATTTTATAAGCTACTTATAAATCAGTGATTTTTCACTTATGTAGATTGATGCTAATTTGATTTGTATCATGGCTGTTTTCTTTAAAATTTTTATACATTTCGTATTGACTAGCTTTTCTAAAAGGTACTACATTTTGTTTTAGTCTCTGAATGGATAGTGTTTTACTTGAGAATTCAAGTAAGCTAATTGGTATTTCCTAGTAAATATAAATATTAATGAATCATGAGTTATGATTTAACTTTTTTTTATATTTATGAATTGAGAGTATATTTGCACAAAAACATGTTTCCTTTTTTTTACCTATTTTAAATTTATTTATTATTTTATTTTTATTTTTAGGTAATGCTTATTAAAAATTTAAGATTGAATTCTGTTTCTATATATAAGACTGTTATTTATTTTATTTTTGTAAGCATAATTAACATTGGCAATATAAAAACATTTCTAGTTGTTTGGAAAATTAAAATAATAAGTGTCTAATTAATTTTTAGTCCAGAAGAAGAAAAAAAAAACTTCTGGTTATTACAATACTTATGAGAAGTATGTTTAAATTTAAGTTATTTTTAATGGATTATTAAGTTATTATATCTGTACTACGTGCAGCTATTGCACAAAATCATTTTTATTTTTCTGTTTTTGTTTATAACATTCTGATGATTTTTTTCCCATCTATTTTACTAAATTTATTTAGTATTTTAAAACTGAAATAATAGTCACTGTTTTGATATATTTATGTGTGTATTTATATACACAAAGGTCTTTATAGGATTGCAATACATCCTTTCTCTAATTATTCCTGATGAAACATTATTATCGTAGAAATTTTCTATTAATATTATTGTTTCTCAGGAATGCTTAAAAAGATACTTATTTTTCCTCCTTGCCCAGTTTACAACTTAATAAGCTTTATACTATGATTTTTAAAATGCATACCAGAAATAATTTGCCATTATCAGTTAATGTTTTGATTGTTTAACTGCTAAAGGTTTCATGTTTTATTTTTAATTCTCATGTTTACCATTGGTTTAAGATGATCAGTAATAAAGAAAAGACTGTTTGTTATTAATGTTTCTAAATTTATAACCGTTTTTATGATATTTTTTTTTAGTATCTTTATTGTTAATACTTTTCAAATTTCATTTTTCAATTGATTTATATTTTATCAGAAATGAGTTCAATACACAAACCTCGAAATTGTGACCAAATCACAGTATATTTTACAGTTATATATAATATAATTAGAAAGTGTCGTTTATTTTAATTACTGAACCCTTACAAGTTCAGTATAGGCTATTCATATTTCAGTTCATTTTTTGCATTCCTGTTTAAATACCTATTATCATATTCCTAATTTGGAATTTTTTTTTTGAAAATAGGTATCCACTTGTTAAAATGTTTAAAGAATTTTATTCTTAAATTGAGTAAGAAGTTTATACCAATGATCATAAGATACTGTTAAATATTTTTCCATAAATGTTTATGTTTTTGTGTTCTGAAAAACATTTTATGAACAACTTTTACCTTGATTATTTATACAAATTAACAAAACTACAATTGTTAATAATAAAGAAGTTCAATGAAAATACAATGGTTATCATTGTATAGAGAGATATGTTCTATATTGCTGATTATTATTATTTCAGTTATAATTCTTAAAAGTCACCACCTAAACATGAATTCTTCAAGGTAGAATTGAATGGTGACTCATTTTGTGTCAAACATTGTATTAACAGCTTTAACCTCATGTCTGTATTTCCCAGTTATTGATTTTTGTATGTTTTATTGTTGATTATATATTTTTTTTAAATTCCTGTATTTCTCAATTATTGATAGATACAGAAGAGCTTATTATTACATCATCTACAAACTCTGAAACTTAATATTTTAATGGTACACTGCGATATAGAATATATATATATATATATATATATATATATATATATATATATATAATGGATTTATGGAAGACTTGAATTTATTTTAGTATTTTTTTCATAACCTTATAAATTTTTACAAATGTATTATTTAGATATGAAAGGGCACGTATATTTTAATTATATTTGTAGTAAAAGCAAAAGTAAGAAAATAACTACTTTTGGTTGCTGTAGATTTTTGGAAGTAATCTATTTAGGATGTTATGTGTGAGTGTATTTGTATCAGTGTATATATCTGTATTTATACACATATATACACACACATTATATAGAGAATACACATACATTTATTAGTTGGAATGTTTTTTCTTTAATGAATCTGTTTAAATCAGTTTCCTTAAAGATACGTAAAATTATCATTAATTAACTGTTATGCTTAGATTAGTCTTAGGTACATATTGATCCCTAATGACGTGATTTTATTTTTCATTAAAATTAAAAAATTAAAATTATCTAAAGTGACTGAAAGGAATTATTTACATTTAAGTAATTTTTTTTCTTAATTTGTATAGTATTAATATCCAAAGTTTAAAAGTATTATCCTCTTAAGTATACCAAAGCTTTGAAATTTGAGTCAAAAGAAATAAAATTGTATGTTTTTAGTTTTTTATGGTTATTTAAAATACTTTAATTTTTCTGTTGCTCTCATGCATATGAATACTTAAGAATCTTAAATTTATATTTAATTTATTTAAAATTGCATTAACCAACAATAGAAGTAAATTTTAACATTTTTTGTATTTGTATTATAATTGTATTGCCTCTCACCGCCTCCAGTTCTAGATAATCTGGATTAATAAACAGTAGTTAAATTGTATTTTTATATTGATACAATGGTTGCAAAAATGGTTAATTTTTTTAGAAGTTTTTGTTCTGATGAGAGTTGGGAATTTAAGTAATTTATATAAATTGTGTGTACTTTATGTATTTATAAATGTCCCCACCTTGTTTTAAAATTTTGTTTAAATATTATCACTTTATTCTTGTATTTACGTAAATACTCAATAAATACCTGAGTAGAAAAGAATTCTTTGGTATTTCAGTTAAAAAAAGGAAACTGATTTTATACTAATGTTTATTTTTTTAAATATCCTTGTATGTATCCTTTGTTTAATTTAATAAGACATTTCTTTTTTTAAATATCTGGTGCAATACAGACTCTTATTTTTAGAATCCAACTGTAAATAATAAAGGAAATTAGATCATTAAATAACATCTTAATTTGTTTCTCTATACTAATATATTATATTTATTAGTAATCATATGTTTGTCAAAATTGTGTACTTTATTTAAAATTGTTTGAATTTTAATGATTATATGTTATAGACAAACTAATTCCTATAGCAATATCAGTATTTGTATCATTGAAAGTATATCTATTTTGCTGTCCAATATTTAAAAAATATCTTATGAGAAATTAATTCCAGGTTTTAAAATTATTTTAGTTTAGAAAACTGGCTCTAAAATGAATTTTAAATTTAATTCCTTATCAGAATTTTTATTTAAACACCGATGAATTACTTTTGTTATATGAAGCATTATTTTCTGTCTATCTATTAGTAATTTATCTCATTTGAATTTTCAAAGATATTGGCAGTATACTTACATTTTACTTTGTTAGGTTTAATTCAGATCTATGTTGATTACTTCCTATGTAATATATTTAATTTTCAAAGATAAATGTTCATTGTGCGTTTGTTAACATTTTTTTCTCTGATCTCCAAATTGTAAGTGTTAGGATATTCAGAATGTTCTATTGATTAAGTTGTATATTGAGTAGTCAAATTTTCAGTTCTAATGAATTCTTGCATCATTTTCGTGACTCCACTTACCAACTGGAAATTAGTGTTCATTCAGTTTATAAAATTATGAATATTTAAGAAGCAGTTTGGATCAATAATAATATGTAATTGAATATCTTATTGGTTTTAACATTTTTCTCACCAATTTATCTTTCTAAGTATAACATGATACACAGTGACTTTAAATTGATATGGTTGAGTTGGGAAAAGAAGGGATTTTGGTCTGTTATTGGTATAAACTAATTAATCTATATTATTCCATTGATACTAATTGTATTTAATCTAAAAGTCCTTCAGTTAATTTATGAATATGCTTCTTGAAGGAAATGATTGTCAGTTAACTCAATGAGTATTTTATTAATATTATGCTAATTCTATTTTCCATGTCACCGATAGGGCTTCATCTCCACTAGATTTGTAAAATTATGTGACTAATTCCGCATTATGAATAGGTGAAGCAAATGTATTTGAGTCATATTTATACAAAACACAACAGGAATTCAAGTAATCCATCCAAAGATTGAGTAAAGAATTAAGAGTTTCTTTCAATTACTCATTGCAAGTTATTACAAATCGTCATTTATCATATTTTACATATCTAGTGGACACTAAGCATTATTTTGCTCGTAATAGTTCTGGATAATTATATTGCACTATTCAATCTTGTGGGATGATAGCTTATTTATGAATGAATACTCTATTCTCTAATAACCCTATCTTATTTATTTAGTTCTTACTATTTTCCTCATCTACAGAATAAATTACTGTTCCTAAAATAATTTTTGTGTAATGGTAGTGGCAAAACTGCTTCAATAGTAATGGAATTGCTTCAATTTCTTTTTCTTTTTTGTTGTAACCATAATATAGGATGAACAGTGCTTTTTGAACTGTGGAAAACGCAGATCTTAGGTTTTTTAATCAATCAAATAATGTTTATGCTTGTTTCTGAAATTTTCTAAATTATTTTTATTATTTGTAAAAATACTTATTTTACATTAAAGGGTTGTGAGCTGATTATTTCACAGGATTTATTGGTCTCAAACTTAAATTTGAATTAACTTTTAGGAAAGTTAGTTTAGTTTATTCATT